TGAGGCTAGTGAAGTTACTTTGAATATAAAGATAAATCACTGAACTTGGAAATGGCTTTATCTCATAAACAAAAACGTGCCTTGAAAAAAATGACTGGGCTGGCTGAGATCCAAAAATCAATACACAGAAGGGGCCTGGAGTGCTCCTGTGGCTCTGTCCCCAGATAATCACAGCTGGCAGGTGGTTCTGGGTTCTGGGCTCCCCTGTCCTCTGGATTGTCCACTCTATGTGGCTTCATTGGCCTCTATACGATGGTGACGTTTCACTCTCTGTCTTTGATCTCGGGAATATTCTCTGCACTGTTTATTTGCTGGTTCTGAGCAAAACTGGAGTGAAAGCAGTCTTAAACCGAGTCTAAATCTTCATTCTTACCAATTTTTAAAACTATCCCAGCCTTTGCATTCAGACCCAGCTCACTCTTCTACCGTTAGAGCACATACGTGTTTTCTTTTTTCAGCGTGATATTGACCTGCATCCAAGCATAAATCTTAATGTTCCCATTTCCACCTCTTCTATTTGAGAAGGATTCATTCATTCATTTATTTTTTCATTCAATATTCATCAAGCACCTACCATAATCTATGTGCTGTTCTAGGTGTTGAGGATACTGTACAAGACTGGCAGCGCTCTTGCTTTTAAAGATGTTACTTACAGGCCAGTAAACGACCACATGAATTGTGTGACTTATTTGGCACTTTCAAAACACATATAAAGTATAACTATATGTTTTTAATCTGAAAAGCATTGAGAAATCATCAGCTTTTGTTTCTGCTTCTCTCTCTTTTTTTTTCTCTAGGACATCTGCTTACTGATGGTTAGCCATCTGTGTATTGGGCGTATGCCACAGGCAGCCAGGGTCTAAAGGTAGCAAAGAAGAGTAGCAAAGACAGGTTTTTAAGTGATTAAAATTTGTCCATATACTCACTGGCACCTTGTTATAATTTTCTTTAAAAACATCTTGATTTCCACGAAGGAATATCAGAATGGAAAGGGATTTGGGGGAACATTTGGTGACAGTGCCCCCTTTTACTAAGTAAGGAAGCATCGGAGACCTAGAGAGAAGGGGAGCAGGAGCAGAGCTGGGAGTCAAACTCATGGTTCTGACCTCCACCTTAGCATTTCTCCCACTCCACCCAGCACACGCGGGTGAGAAGATGCCCTCCTCTCCCAGGGCCTCCACTGCTCTTCGTCCCTTTCTTCCCTGGCTCCTTCCTGCCATTTACACTTTCTCCAAGGAAAACCAGGGGCTACAGGCCACACAGATTTAAACATTCCATTGCCTTCCCCCAAAGGAAGAATTCCCTGGAACATTAAACCAAAATGACTTAGCGAAGCAAGGAAAAACACGTTATATCGCTACTGCTTCTTCTCTTAACTCTTCTTGGTTCCCTTTGGGTTCTGGGCGTATGAAACGCTGCTGCTGCCGCCGCCGCTCCTTCCTCTTTCTCTTCTTCCCCCTTATTTTGGAGGATAATTTGTTGTAATCAGGTATTAGCCTTAAATGATGGAGAAGCTCTCATTACTTAGTAGTTTTACATCTTCTCATGTCCTCATGGAAAGGAGCCAGATTGTGGCACAAAACAGGCACGGGGTGGAATCCTGGGTTTTATCTGCCACTTATTGCTATATGACCCTGAGTAAGTCACTTGGCCTTTCTGAATCTCATTCTCTTCTGTGAAATAGAGATGACAATACCAATCTCTTAAAGTTGTTTAAAGAATTAAATAAAAGACCATATGTCAATGCTTGAGTGTAGTAGATGCTCTATCAGGGCAGCTATTAATAAAAGTAATGATAATAACAATTTGTCTGGAGTTAGACCAATTAGAATGAATATGAGACATGTATATAGGCCCACTTTGTATTCCTGAAGTGCTTACGTGCTTCTTCAAGACTCACAGCAACTTCTCTAAGAAAACAGGCCCCACTCTGATGCAAATTTATATTTGAAAAAACATGAGGCTTACTCAGAAAAGATGGAGGACTTTTTCAGAGTCACATAGCTGGTGGTGGCAGAGCTTGGACCAGAGTCCAGGTCCTCTGTCTGTCTGTCCCACTTCTCTAGGCCAGTGACTTCTCTAGGGGCGTAGACCTCCCGACTACACAATCTGGACACTCACACAAAGTGGGAGAAATCAAGTCCACAAATAGCCTCTAGTCAGTTATAGCTCACGTTTTGTCACCAAATGAGTATGAGAAAACTGTGTTTGCTGCTCTTAGCTTCAGAATTGTGGAAAAAGTATTGAACACTTGTAACAAGAACACATGATATTCCTCAAATGTGCTGGAGTAGACAGCATGCTGAGACCCTGCTTTATGCTATGCCACCTCCAGAATTTGATTATTTCAAAATTATGCCCCCCAAAGGATCAAAGAGAAATCAGAATCCATGTGTCCTAGATTGACATTAGAGGAAAGGAGCCTGGCACAATAAATCTTTCAGGAGACCCTGAATTCCCTGGGTCTCTGTCTCCTCTGGTCCACAGGTTGAGCCAAGCTTTGCGAGATTCGGTGGACTGGTCTCTGCAAGAGCTCTCATTAGCTCTACCAATGCCAAACGTTAGCTGATGAGCAGGACTCCTGTTGGTTTTCTTCCAGCCCTTTCCTCCTTTCTTACAAAGGACTGCTTAAATCACAATTCCTGATCTCACACTTGGACCCATTTTTAGATGCTAAAATGAAGAAAATTAGGGGTTCTAGGACTGGGTATGTTTCTGTCATGCTCATTAAATTGCAAGGGTGCTTGCAGCTCTTGCATAAGAATATCTTAACTATATTTAATCACAGGAAAACTTCCCAGGGAGGCTGAGGTTAGTTCCTTTTATACAGTGACAATACAAGAAAGGTTTCACTTGGAATAACAAATAAGATCATTCCATCAAGACACTTTTGCTGGGATCATAACAAGAAGCAAATAACATTGTCCTTCTCGTCCAAGTTATGGATTTTTTATTAGAGATTCTTATAATTTCCTCTGTCCTATTATAATTTCTTCCCAAGCTCCTCCCTTCTTACTTTGAGAAACTGTCCATATTCTTTGCAAAGAGTCAGTTCCCACAGTCCCTACTGAGTGGGCATGTGACTTGCCTCCTTGACCACTGACAACTACATCGGGAGTTGTCCCTACTTAAACCCAGCCAATTAGGTTCTCTCTCCTAGGGATTGGAATGGAGCTTCTGAGATGCTATTGAGTGTCTGCTGAGCATTTAAGGAGAGAGGTGATGTCAGCAATGGGGACATTGTGTTTACTCTTGTGCCAAGAAGCAGAAAGAACTTCTCAAGAGACAGAGATAAAAAGAGAGATCGAGATAGAGATGAGAGACAGAGAGAGAGAAGGTGGAATAACAACCACATGCAGACAGAAGCAGAGACAAGAAACCAATTTAAGAGATATTAAGTGAGAAATCGTGCTTTTGCCTTCTGTTACTGTTTCCAGTATTTTGTGAACATTAATTACATTCTCTGCCCTTTCATTTCATTATATGCCCCTGTACCTTGTTGTTAAATACAACCCTTCTCATTTTCCTTTGTGTATGTGTATATGTGTGTGTGTGTGTGTCTGTGATTTGAGTGGGTTTTGTTCCATGCAACCAAGGGATCCCAAGATAGGTTTGCATCCATAATCTCACCTATGATGCCCAGTAACATTTTCAAGATGGCACCTTTGTTTTAAGAGTAGAGCTCACAGTCTTGGGACTAGAACCAAGAAGTGAGGGAGGCTTCTGTGATCTAGTGTCTTAGCCTAATGCTCATTGATTTGTCTGTCACTGATGTTTCATGAGCTTTTGCTCTGTTTCCATTCTTTGCATCAGGCTAAAATAGATTCTATAATTGATATCCTCCTCAGAAGAGTGTGACTTTCCATCTGGGATAGATTTTCAAAAATTCTTACTGGGAGCCCAGAGGATTGGAATGGCTCCAAGACCCCTCATCACACCATTGGCGAGGGTCTCTTTTTTCCTTCTCTGAAAGGTGTGAATTTGACCTTTTCATTGGTCACCAAGGTTGCCATATTTAGCTACTTGCGACTTAGATACAAAGGGCCTTGAGGGAGAGCAGCCCACAGAGTTCTATTTGAGGAATGCCAGCCAAATGGTTCTCCAGGACCCAGCTGGTACTACTCTCTCTCACACAGTGCCTGAAATGTGCACAGTTATTTTTGTTGAATTATAATATTATTGCTCACGATGAAGTCTAATATTAAAACAAAATTAACAATGCCCACAGAGAGGGCAGAGAACTCTCAAACCTGCCAGTTGCATGACTTTGGGAAAATCAAAACCTCTGTGCTTCAGTTTCCTCATCTGTAAGATGATAGTACTCATACCTACCTCATAGGGTTGTTATGGGGGTTAAATGAGTTAATATTTGTAAAACCCCTAAGTCAGTGCCTGGCACGTAGTCTGAGCCCCAATGAACACACAGACCTCCTGTTGAAATGGTGATAGAGGGTAAAATCTGGGGCTTTCCCTTACATAGTATGTAAACTCTTGGACTCAGAATGTCTGAGGTTTGGAAAGTGGGGAGGGCCAAGAAATCAGGTCTTGGTGGATTTCGAACACTTCAAGGTGACATAACTCTTCACCAGATCAAGGGTGAAGGTCTCCCTCTTGAAGGGGTTTTCTTAACATATATATGTGAGGCTTAAATGTTGGGCTGGGATGAAAAGGGGAGATGTAATTTAAACTCAGGAATACAGGCGTGGCCATAGGGGATGTTAGTCCTTGGGACATGACCATTTGTAGATCATAGTCTCAAGGAGTTGTTAGTTAGACCATGGTTAGAGATTACAAGGATATTGGGGCTTTTTGGCTTTAAGTCATGTTTATTTAGGTATAATTCACATACAATGAAATTCATCCTTTTTAGCATATAGCTCTAAGAGTTTGACAAATGCGTGCAGTCAGGTAACCACCACCACAATCAACACATAGAACGTTTCTATCCCCCCTGAAAGTTCCCTTGTGCCCATTTGTGGACAACTCCACTTCCCACCAACAGCCCTGGCAACCACTCTTCTGTTTTTTTTCCCCCTGTAGTTTTGCCTTTTGCAGAATGTCAGTAAAGCTTCTCTGACCTTTGAGCCCAGGTCAGGTGATAAGAGCTCTGTCAGCATCTTGCGGCCCTTACCACAATTATAATTACACTGTATATATATGTATATTAATAAATTGTTCAGTGTCCATCTCTTCTGCTAGATTTCTGCAGGCATGTCACAGGGCAGAGATTGTCTGGCTGGTTCATTACTGTATCCTCAGCAGTACCATCAAATAGATGGGCAACAAACACTGTTTAATGAACGAATGAATGAATGAGTGACTCAATGATGATAAGGCAAGTGCTCTGTCACTACTGCTTCAGAAAAGCAATGTGATATTCAGTGGTACCAAATCTATCATGTTGTAAAGCACCCACAGACCAAATTATTCAAACATTCCTGGAGAGTATGCATAGAATTTTAGAGTTATATTGGGTCTGAATATTAGCAATCAGAACCATCCCAGGCAATTCCAGATGCATGATCAGTATATTCAATTAATTAAAAATAAAATGGAAAAATCTTTAATCATTTAACACTGTCTTTTGCTATTATTTTGTCGAACTACATATTTAAAGCTGTTTATTTCGTAATCTTTACACTCCATATATTTTGTAGCAAATCTGACATTACAGTGATGCTCAAGAGCAAGATCATGAAATCCTCAAAATCAAGTTTATTTTCTGTATGCTCGTCAAGTTCAGAAAGGAGGTATTTGTATTTTGCTTTGGTTTCTTGGCCCTGTAAGAATAAAGAAGAGAAAGTAAAAACCTAATTCATTGTGCCATCTTGGTTTTGCAAATAATAAGCAATAATAAATATGTCACCAACAATAACAATATGTCAAGTTGCTACAGTGCTTCCAGTGGAGCACTCTGTTAAATCCTTTCATGAGTTATCTCATTGAATCCCCACGGTGACCTTGTTGAACTCATAGCCTTGGCTACCTGATTCCAGAGCCTACACTCTTTTTTTTTTTTGCGAGGAAGACTAGCCCTGAGCTAACATCCATGCCAATCCTCCTCTTTTTGCTGAGGAAGATTGGCCCTGGGCTAACATCCGTGCCCATCTTCCTCTACTTTATATGGGACGCCGCCGCAGCATGCTTGACAAGCGGTGCGTTGGTGTGCGCCCGGGATCCAAACCTGCGAACCCTGGGCCGCTGAAGGCACCAGGCTGGCCCCGAGCCTACACTCTTAACTGGTAAGCTCTCCCACCTCTCTACAAACACAGATATTGTTATGTTCTCCGATTTTCAAAACATAATCTCTTTGTTATGGGAGGTATCCACTCTGTGTTCCACGGAATAATTCGATTATCCAGAAATATGGAATAAAATATGCTAAAAGAAGATTTGTGCTCTGGAAGATTGTTCAGCATTTAGTTTGATCAAAAATCAAATCGAAGTTCATAGTCCTCATAAACAGATTGAAGGAAAACATATGAATAGGACATAAATGGAGAGGCTTTTCAGTTTCCAAACACAGCTTGTGAAATATCTTCCCAAGTGGCACTAAAAACATTGTCATTTGATTCACTGTTATACTGAACTGTGTTTGCATGTAGTTCAACCTCAACTGCTCACCCACGTGCTGGTTGCAAAAAACCATCATAGCGGTGTCTAACGCACTTTAGGAATGACGACACATTCGTTGTCGGGCTTAGACCATTCTTGTTTCTCTAGGCTGGTTCCCCTCAAGAGGACACCTAACTTTGAGAGTGAAAAGAGTTCTCCCTCGCCTCCCTCCAGTAGAGCCGAATGCTCTGTTAAAAGGGTCAGGTTCTAAGACAGAGATAGAAGCACTTCGCTAGTGGAATGGCATACGGCTTGAAGGTCAGAGATGGCTGTAGGTCTTTCTTCTCTCTTTCTTTCTGCATATTGTAAGAGCATGGAGCTGACCAAGGTCATCCTGCTTTTGTATCTTCTCAGCAGTGCCTTTAGGTGCTCGGTTTTACTAGATCTGTCTGGCTATAGAGTGTTAAGATCCCCAAAATGATGTTTAGGCCTATGAGAAAGGATATGTTCCCCTCAGAACCCAGGCCTCAGCCAAAAGGTCCAGCTCGGTTTACCAGGAAACTCCACGTGGGGATTTAGGAGAAAGCCCAGTTAGTAATGAAGGGGTTGCTGTCTTTTGCCATTGACTCATGTGCCCGCACCTGCCTTAGGGAATCTCATGGAGCAGGGCAGTTGGTCCAAGACAGCATTCTGTCATTATTCCACATGTTTGCTCAGTGAAGTTAAGCTATCACCATTGATACTGAGAATGCCTCGAGGTGAGCTGTCACCTTGAGGCCCCTGAAATACAGCTTCTGTTTCCCGTGCCTCTCATCTGGAGCGGAGGGCAGGATTGCACTGAGGCCTGATGTGTCTGCTGCTAGAGATCCAGAAATGGGCTGCTTTCCTCAGATTTAGCCTAGACTGAGGCACACAAGGCTGAAGGTGTCTTACCTAATGATTTTGGTTTTATTTTTTTCCTCTGGTGTTCTCGGAGGGACGATGAATTACATCAAGATGATCTATCCACTAGGTCTTCATTTTCCTGCTTGTTAAAAGCTTGCTGAGGATTTGACGGGTCACCAGGGAAAGTGGGATATCATTTTTTCTCTCTGGGATATCATTTCTTTTGGCCTCTGATGCAGGCAAATGTTATAGGATTTATTCATCCACCCTTTCTTTAAAGACTCCCTAGAACTTTTTTATCTCTTGTCAAATTCTGGCTGATATTTCTGACTGAAAAAAATAGATTTTCTTAAAAAAAAATTTAGTTCAAAAATAATACGGTTTAACAATGAACATTTAGAAAAAAATATTTTTCAAAATGAAAATGTAAAAATAACCCTTTACTCCATTACCCAGATAGCTATTATTAACCTTTCTTTCTAGGCATTTTTCTGTGTATCACATCGTAGTCTCTCTCTTTCTGTCTCTCTCTCCCTTACATACACACTTTTATTTAAACTTTATTGAGAAATAATTGACAAATATAGTTGTATAGATTGACAATGTACAACGTGATGATTTGATATACGTATACATTGTGGAATGATTCCCAAGGTCAAGATAATTAACACATCCATCACCTCACATAGTTAACTTGTGTGTTTGTGTGGTGAGAATGCATAAGATCTACACTCAGTGACTTTCAAATATACAATACCATATTATTAACTATAGCCACCATGCTGTACATTAGATCTTCAGAACGTAACCTTCTTATACTTGAAAATTCATACCCTTTGACCTACATCACCCTACTTCCTCCTTCCCCCAGCTCCTGGCAGCCACCATTCTATTCTCTGTTTCTATGAAATCAGCTTTTCAAAAAATCACTTATTTATGGAATCTGAAAGAAACAAAAAACAAAACAAACCGATTTCACACACTTTTGAAATAATCGTAGATTCACAGGAAGTTGTACCTTTGTCCCAGCTTCCCCCAGTGGATGCCACCTTATATAACTATAGTATGCTGAAACCATATATATTTATATTTTAATGGGATTATAATATTTATCTTTTTTATATCTCAGAACACACATAGGACCTTAGAGATTGCTTCAAGGTTTTTCTCACTCTACCTACCAATAAACATCGGTGGCTAAGGTTCTGCCTGAGCCCTCTTCTCTTCTTACACATTTTCCCCAGGCCAGTATTTCCCAAAGTATGAACACATACTGGTGGTAGAACGTAATGCAATTTTAGGTGATGCAGAATAAATATTAGATAATAATTAATAGTTGTTTTTTTACTAATTTTCACTTTTACCCACTGAATTTACATTTAAAATAGTGATGAAGTGTCCTTATAAAATAAATTTATTTAAGTAGAGAATTAACTTAAAAAAAAGTTCTACGTAAATTCTAATACAGGCTGTAGGCAGATATGGGAAAAATATCAAAGATGGTATTCAAATGACTGAAGTTTGAGAAATATGCCTCTAGGTGATTTAGGTCACTCCCTTCAGGTCAGTGACCTTTTATATATTGCTAACTCTCACTTCTGTATTTCGAACACAGGTTTCTATTCTGACCTCCCAACTCATATATCCTGCTGCTATCTGAGTTTCTTCACTTCAATGTTTCAAGGACATCTTAAAATTGACACATCCGGCTGGAACTCATCACCTCTCCCCATCTCTATCCTGTCTCAAATCTACTGAATCTCCAGTCTTTCTCTTCTCTAGGAATGGGACCATCACTCATTTCTTCCCACAGTCAGAAACTGGGGTATCATTATTTGCTTCTCCTGTCCTTCAACCCTCACAGCCAATCAATTATCAGATCCTATTCATTCCACCTTCCAAATGTCTCTCATATTCACCACTCTAGTCCAAACCATCATTGTCTTGTGTTTGGATTCCCACAGTCATTCTCTTCTTCTTCACCCCACCCCCACCCCACCCCAATCTGATCTGCAGCTGGTGTAATTTCTTAGTCCTGGGCTTAGAGACCATTCCTGGTTTCCTCCTGCTCTCAGGCCATGCCTCTGTAAGATTTGGCTTCTCTCCACCTCCCCAGCCTCATCTCCCACTGCTTCCTACTTTCTTCCCCCTTCTCATCAACTACTTACTAGCCCTCATAGGTCTTTGACATGCTTTACACCATTGCATATGCCATTCTGCTGCTTAGAATGCTATCATTCTCACCTCCCTTGCATTGCTAACTCTTGCTCATTCTTCAGATCTCAGCTACACCTTAATTTTTCTGGAGCCCTTCTTTGACCACTCACCCCAAGATGGTCCCTCTGTTTTACTCTTTCGATGCATTTTCTACCCTTTCATGGTCCTTTGAATATTTCTAATTACTTTTTCAGCACATCTTTCTACTCTGCTGGATTGTTAGCTTGTTCCTTGCATTAACCCTAGTGCTCAACTCACTTCTTGGCATATGGTAGGTGCTCAATAAACATCTGTTGAATGAAACAACATGATGGGGCCCTTGAGCTAGAGTTGGCTCTTTGGGCCAGTTGTTAGGGTGTGGCCCCTGTGTCTTCATGCCTGTTAATTCTCTCACCTCTGTGAAATTCCGAAATCGGGTTTGCAGCAGATTTTTGGCAGTAGCTTTTCCAAGTTTACCATCAGGATCAGAAGAGTTTCTGAAAATTAAAGCAGCAGTGGCGATGGCTTTTTCCAGATCTGAGCCCTTCCTCAGAGCTGTGAGAGAAGAAATGTGCAACAGTGTCGCCTAGGTTAGAAATAGTCTTTCCCCAGACACGGGGGTATATCTTCCAAGGGAACCATGGAGAACAAGGTGGAAAGTGGATGTCATTGTGGCCCCGTCTTTGGGCTCTTTGGCTCCTATCTGGGAGTGGGAAGTGGGGGTGTCTGATCTTGGATCTTTAAACAATGGAGAACAAAAATTTCTTCAGGAGCGATTAGAATTAGTAGAATTAGGATGAGATTTCCACCTGCTTGCCATGTGACCTTGGGAAAACACCTCACCTCTCTAAGCCTTGTTTTTCTGATCTGTAATTTCATTCAGTATTCAACAATATTTATGGAGCACCTCCTATGTGTTATGCTTTGTTCCTGGCACTGAGGACACCTCACTGAATAAGACAGAGTCCTGCTCTTGCGGAGTTTATATTCTCTGTTAGACAGAGCATCACCTCATGGCAGTGTGATAAAGGAGAATGACATTCCGGACAAGCTCTTTGATATCATGGTAGATAAGGCATCTCTGCCTCATGGCCTCAAACACAGTGATCTCCCAGATGGTTTTTCCAGTTTAAACTCCTTGAAAGGCAGTGCTAACTCACTCCTTTCCAGGGGGTAGCACCCAGTGAACACAGAACTGCACAAGGTACAGTGAAGACAATTCTACGCTCTCTGTTTTCTTAGGCCCCCGAACATCCCCTGTTATAGAATTTCTCACACTTCACAGTTACTGCATGTTTAACCAGCTTTCTCCCCATCTGGAATGCAAACTCCACAAGGCCAGGGATCATACTTTTTTTTTTTATCACTGTCAGTGATGGGCGCAAATGCCCGCTACGTAGTAGGTGCTGGTAAATGCTGCTGAATGAATGAATAAGAAGAAAAGAAAAGAAAAACAAAAATCCCACAACTTTCAACCCAGATAATGTGCAACAATCATGATGATCAGTCAGAACAACGTGAATTTTGTGTTCCCGGTACTCTCCTCAGGGGCCAAGCACACAGAGGTGACACAGTCGGATGTGGCCTCTGCCTTCATGTATCTTTTTTGGTGTGTGTGTGAGGAAGGCCAGCCCTGAGCTAACATCCATGTCAATCCTCCTCTTTTTGTCGAGGAAGACTGGCCCTGGGCTAACATCCATGCCCATCCTCCTCCACTTTATATGGGACGCCGCCACAGCATGGCCTGCCAAGCGGTGCCTCAGTGCGCGCCCAGGATCCGAACCCCGGCTGCCAGTGGCGGAGTGCGTGCACTTAACTGCTACGCCACAGGGCCGGCCCCTGCCTTCATGTATCTTACAATCTAGTGAAGTAATAAATAATAATCAAGAGGATATAGGAGTCTAGACATTTGTTTTATACATATTTGATGATTATTTCTCTATATACATGTATAATATGCATTCAGTCATGTGTCACTTAATAACAGGGATATGTTCTGAGAAATGCACTGTTAGGGGATTTCATGGTTATGCGAACATCACAGAGTGTACTTCCCCAAGCCCAGGTGGTATAGCCTACTACACACCTAGGCTATATGGTGTTCATCTTCTGGGACCACCATTGTATATGGGTGCATCGTTGACTGAAACGTTGTTATGTTATGTTATGACTGTATTTGCAACTTGTGATGTATGAGGCAAAGAAGGTGCAAAGAAAGAAAAAAATAGAAAATTTCAGAGTGAATTTGAGAGGAAAACTACTTAGACAGGTGGTCTTGGAGGCACCCATGAGTAGATTAACATTTAACCTAAGACCCATAGCATGAGAAGGAGCCTGCCGTGTAGAAGGGTAGGGGGTCAGGCTGGGATTAGGGTTGTGGTGAGTGTTCCAGGCTCAGGGAGTGACATGTGAGGGCTCCGATCAGGAGTCTGGCATATTGGAGGAGCTGAAAGGAGACAGTTGTGGCTGGAGTCTAGAAGCTGGAAGGGTGTTTGATTAGGAAAGGTAGGCAGGGCTAGACCGTGCAGGACTCATAGGCTATGGAAAGGAATTGAGATTTTCTTTAAAGTGTAGGGAGAAGGCATTGAAAGGTTTTAAGCATCTATTTTTTTTTTTTAGTTAAAGGTGAGAGGGAAGGACAAGAGTTAAGAGGAATGGGTGAAGGAAGGAGCGTGCGGGCCTTCACAATTTTTACTGTGTCTCTGAGCAGGACTCAGACTAAATGGTGACATTAAAATTTTTACATATGTGAACATCTGCCAAAGCATTCTAATCAATGTGTTGGCGTCTCTCCCTGTCGCCTGGGGAAATATGTGCCCTCTCCATTCCCCCATGCCACTTCACCCACCATTTACCCTGAAGCTTGAATCATTTGGACTTCCTGGTCTTGCAAATGGATGACGCTTCTTTTGGCCCGTCCCTTAGAGTACCCACTGACTTGCTCCAAGCTAAAGCAAGTCAAAGACATGCGTGTAAGCAGCAATCTGGTTGGGACAGAAAGTTGGAGCTGCCGTTTATTATGCATCTATTACGTGCCAGATACTTTACTATATTGTATACTTAGTTCTCATTACAACCATAGGAATTATTATACCATTTAATGTAGTATTCCATGATATGAATGTACCATAGTTTGTTTAACCATTCACTGCTGAAGGACATTTGGGTTATTTACAGTTTTTGGCTATTATAAATAAAGCTTGTATGAACATTTGTGTACAAGTTACTATACAAACAGGATTTTTCTTTTCTTTGGAATAAATAAACGCCCAAGAGAACAATTGCTGGGTCATATGATAAGCCCATTGTTTGTTTTTAAGAAACTATAAGTTGTTTTCCACAGTGGCTGTACCATTTTACAGTCCCATCAGCAGTGTGTGAGAGATCCAGTTTTTCTCCCTCCTTGCCAACACTTGTGTTGTCACTATTTTTTATTTTAGCCATTCTGATAGGTGTGTAGTGATATCTCTGTGGTTTTAATTGGTATTTCCTAGTGGCTAATGATGCTGAACATCTCTTCATGTGCTTATTTGCCATCTGTCTATCTTCCTTAGTGAAACGTCTGTTTAGGTCTGTTCATGGATTTTGCCCATTTTCTAATTGAATGTTTTAAAAATTTTGAGCCTTGAGAGTTCTGTATCAATTTGAGATACAAGTCTTTTGTAGGATATGTGATTCGCCAATATTTTCTCTCAGAATGTAAATTGTCTTTTTATCCTCTCAATGGAGTCTTTTGTGGAGGAAAAATTTTTAATTTTTATAATGTCCAATTTATCAATTTTCCCTCTTATGAAAGATTTGTCCTATGTAAAATTAAAAGTTTTGTAATTTTATGTTCTTCATTTAAATCCGTGATCCATTTTGAGTTAATTTTTGTATAAGTTGTGAGACTTAGGTTGCAGTTTATTTTCTTTATTCTGTGGATGACCGATTGCTCCAGCATCAATTGTTGAAAACACAATCCATCCTTCCTTCACTGAATTGCTTCTGCATCTTTGACCAAAATCAGTTGGGCGTATTTGTGAGGGTCAATTTCTGGGTCCCATATTCTGTTCCACTCATCTGTGTGTCTATCCCTCTGTGAGCACTGCACTGTTTTGATTCCTGTAGCCTTACCATTGGGGAGAGTGATTCCTCCCACTTTCTTCTTCTTTAAATTCATTTTGGCTATTCTAGGGCATTTCCCTTTCCATATAAAGTTTAGAATAAGCTTGTCTGTTTTCAAAAACCTTGAATTGTGATAGGAATTGCTTTCAGCCTAGACAGAAATTTGGGGAGAATTGACATCTTTACTGTGTTGACTCTTCCAATCCGTGAACACAGTGTCTCTCCATCATTATACCATTTTACAGATGAAGGAAGGATATGATCATGTTGAGCAGACACTACTAATAAGTGGCAGAGTTTGAATTTGAATCCATGTTGAAAACATAAGCCTCATGAAGACAGGAATTTTGTTTCCTGTCTTGGAATCTTCATCACTTAGCATGATGCCTTGCACATAGTAGGTGCTTCACAAATATTTGTTGAATGAATATCTGTAAAACCTGTGTCCTCAACTTCTTACTCCTTGATTTCCTCCCTGATTTCTGATCCTCAGTCTCACCTGGCCTGTGGCTTGTGCCTTACATTTCCCACTCCTGTCTGCTTGTCCGGTGGCTGCCCCTCTATCTAGCCTAGAACCCTAGCCTCAGAGAATTCCCTGCTTCTTTGGATTCTGTTTTTAGCTCCGCCTACCCCCACCCCCCACCCCCATCCTTAGTCACCTCTTCCCTTCATCTCTGCCATATCCAGAAAACCCATATTCAGAACTGGGATTCTCCTCAATTACCCAACATTTTCCTGCTCATCAAAATACAAGGAGATGGGTGCATTTCGTTTAGCTGGTGGTCTGCCCTTCTCAGGGTATGTGTGTTTGAAGTGGAGGGGTGTTGCCTCACTTGTAAATGGTGGTAACCTTAAATTTAAGTAGCCGAAGAATAAACTCTGTTTATAAATAGTCCAGTCCCTAAGAAGCAAATTGCTTAGAGGAAACACCTTAATTCCTTCAGAGGCCAGTATTCCTTTTGTAACTCTGACCTGTTGATTTATTAGCTAATGACCAAGGGTAGTTAGGGAGGGCTTTAGTATGAGCTGCTCTGCTGGGTCTGAGACTTCTTACGGAAGACAGTAGCTTCTTGCTCTCCCAGCTGTGCCCTTCTGATGAAAGGAAGGGGTAGATTTCCAGGTTGTGAGTGAGCTTGCAAATAATGACAGACACCTTCCTTGTTCACTGTGTACCAGATGCCTTTCAAACAGAGTCTTCTTTAACGCTTAATAAAACCTACACAGATAGATACTATTTGTGTCTCAATTTTACATGTTGGGAATTGACACAATGAGAGATTAAGAATTTTAAGGTCACATTGCTCAAAAACGGCAGAAGAAAGATTTGAAAGTCTGTCTGACTTCAAAACCTATAGAAAGATCTGCCACTTTGGAATATCTCCCACGGAGGCTGGGGAATCCAGATATTTTCCAACCCTCGGATGAGGTTCAGGTCTGACTGCACTCAAGATGGGGACTCCATCTGGACTAGCCAGCTTCTCTCCCTTCTCCTCCATTCCTTTAAACACAGTGTGCATTTTTTCCTGACTATAAAATAGCATATGCTCATCGTAAAAACAGAACTAGAAAATATTAAAAATAAAAGTTAACAAGGAGCTCTGGTTATCCTCCCAACACTGACGATGCTTTGCGAGGCGTTTTGGTTTCCTGTTTTTATGGGTGGGTGCTTCCCTTAATAAACCCAGCATGTGGCCTCCTAATTCCTGCCCTGTCTGCCTTGCAGAGTTGTGAGCAAATACGTGAAAGCACGTTGTAAAGGGCTAAGCGATATTAAAAATTGCAAAGGATTGATGTTCCTCTTTTGGCGTCTTTTATGGGCTCTCTTGCCTCTGGCGTGGGGGTGTTGGAGAGGGTGTCAAAACAAGCACTTCACATTGATCTCTCCCGCTATTTCCTACCTTACTATTTATGCTTTAATAATACTAACCTGTGTATTGTTCCTTACATATTCTATTCTCCCAAGTATTTATTGAACAATAAATAGGACAAGAATATACCCTGTCCTAGTTCTGGGGATACAGCAGTGAGCACTATCAAGGGAACAGTCCCTGATTTCTTGGAGCTTGCGTTCTGAGGGACAATATTAATGAACTATTATGGAGCTCGTAATCTGTACACCAGCCACTCCTCCGTGGGATGTACATGATTCAACTAATTTAATTCTTACATCAGCCCTCTGAGGTGGGTCCTGGTATCATGCCCACTTTATAGATGAGGAAACTGAGGAACAGAAAGGTCAAGTAGCTCACTCAAGGTCACACAGTCAGTCTGGTCCCCCACCCTGAAACACACTGCCTCTAGATGTTATTTTTCTTTCTTTTTTTTTTTGTGAGGAGATCAGCCCTGTGATAACATCTGCCAATCTTCTTCTTTTTTTTGCTGAGGAAGACTGGCCCTGGGCTAACATCCATGCCCACCTTCCTCCACTTTATATGGGACACCGCCACAGTATGGCTTGACAAACGGTGCGTCGGTGCGCGCCCAGGATCCGAACCAGCGAACCCCGGGCCGCTGCAGCGGAGCACAAGCACTTAACCACTTGAGCCACTGGGCTGGCCCCTAGATGTTGTTTTCCAGGCAGTGTATTCTGTAGGACTCTTTCCCAAACCCCCAGATTGGGCTCCATGTCCCACCTTTGTGCTTTGCTACTTCCCTCAGTGTAGACTTATAACTCTCACACTGAAACACTCTGTTTATCTGTCTAAATTACCTTCTAGATCACTGCTGTCCAAAAGAAATGTAACATGGGCCATAATTATAACTTAAAATTTTCTAGTAGCCACACTAAAAAAGTAAAAAGAAATAGATAAAATTATTTTTAATAATATATTTTATTTAACCCACTACATCAAAAATATTATCATTTCGACATGTGATCAATATAAACAAATTACTGAGATATATTACTGTCTCTTCAATCTGACGTACATTTTACACTGACAGCACATTTCAATTTAAACTAATCACTTGTAATATCTGCACGTGGCTCGTGGCTACTGAGTTGGACAGTGCAGTTCTAGACTGTATGTTCCCTGAGGGCAGTTACTGCATCTTATTCATCTTTGCATGAATTCCCAGGCCCTGGAGTGTTGTAGGCCTCAGTATATGTGCGTTGAACTGAGCTGACGTGAACCTGAGAACAATTCTCTGCCTCGCTCTCCTCAACCGCCCTGGAAAGTGAAACACTAACCATTAAACACTAGATCTAGTGAGTTCCTGACACTTTGGTGTAAGAGAAACACAACTCTCAGTACAGCAAGGTGTCAGAATCACCTCCTTTTTAGAATTTTTGCTAGCATTAGTTATTTTTGCAACTGAAGACCTATGAGAGAAGTGGTTTGTCCAAGTTCACGTGCATAGTACGTGGCAGAACTAAACACTAGGTCTCTGCTCTTTTCTCGCTAGATTGATAGCTTTCCCAACACGCTAGTACTTCTCAAACTTTTCCACTACAAAACTACTTTGGGGGGCCGGCTGAGTGGCATAGCGGTTAAGTTCTCATGCTCCGCTTTGGAGGCACTGGGTTTGCAGGTTCGGATCCCAGGCGCCAACAGACGCACCGCTTGTCAAGCCATGCTGTGGCAGCATCTCATATAAAGTAGAGGAAGATGGGCATGGATGTTAGCCCAGGGCCAACCTTCCTCAGCAAAAAAGAGGAGGATTAGCAACAGATGTTAGCTCAGGGCTAATCTTCCTTAAAAAAAAACAAAAAACTATGTTGGATACTAGAGGCAAATATGTACTCATCCCTCATTCCCATCCCCCACCCCGCCCCGCCCAAGAGATCAAGGGCATAAGCCCAATTAGCCAGTAAAGAAAATATGGGTTTGTATTGACTTCTGTTCCATGATCTACCCAAGTTTGATTTCAATGAATAACATTTAAAATTACTTACCGTTGAATAAAACACATTCTGGAAAGATAAGCTATGTTTATGCTATGTTTACTTAAGGCATGGGAATAAATGTGCCCCAGTGGTCCAATGTAAGGAGTCTGGTGCTAGGAACTGTGCGTGTGTGTGTGTGCATGTGTGTGTGTGTGTGTGTGTGTGTGTGTGTGTGTTGGGGGGTAGTGAGGGTGACAGAGAGAGTTACAACCTCCCTCAACCTCCTAGAGTGGGGAGTTGTATGAGAAGTGACATGGATATTTATCATGTCGTGGAAGTGATATTGTCATGGACAATTGTCAAAAGTACCCCAAATTGTGTAAATTGTAAAACAGAAATCATGGGTCTCTTGTGTTGTGATGATGTAAAAATAATATTTTCATCAAGATGAAGATTTACTTAAATAAAAATATAAACAGTCTCCTTTGGAGACATTGGCGAGCCATCCAGGAGGAACAACACCTCCCATATAGTCATGTTCAGCTGTGCTTGCTGCTCTGTAAACATTTTAAGCCACTCATTTTGGAATAAGATAATGATCAAAGTATATGAGTGTCTTTTTTTCTTATATTGTTTTTCCCATGGCAAAATTGTTAGCTCTAAAGATATTTTACCTATAAGATTGAATTCTGAGGGCAAATATTTACACTCTGGGAGTTGGCCACACTGTGTTTTCACTCGATCAACATAGACAGTTGGGGGTTGATTGCATCCTGAGTTCCACTGAGCAGCCATGAGTCAGATACTGACGGTCCTTCTCTGAACACACAAGGAGGCCGCCCACGGAGAGGCAACTGAGCACAGTGGGAAGAACACGGAATTAGGAGTTGGGGGATCCATGCTACCATCTTAGTGTGGGCTTTAATGGCTTGTCTAAGTTTGGGGGAGCTAATTCTGATCCCTGGACCTCAGTCCCCAAAGCTTTAAAAAGAACATCATGAATGTTTGATGATTTATCCACAGGTTCCCTTACATCTCTGGGACTCTCTGATGTCCTACTATTTTTAACTCGTGGTGTGCTGTCGTGGAAGAGGAGAAACACATACGTCTCACTCACTCCATGCCTTGCCTTTTATTGAAGCCAGTTGTTTGGATATTGAAATGCTGCCAACAAAATGAAAGAAACATAATGATTCTGGGAGTTTGGGTGTTGATATCAGCATCTAAAGTAGAGTAATACAACAATTTAAAGATTAATTTATTTTCAGGAAACATTCACTTAGCATTCTGGTGGAGCAGCCACCTGTCTTTCAAAAGCCTTTCTCCCCCGGCCACATAGTAAAGAAATGCTTGACCTTGGCTGGCCGGCTGGCCCATATGTCCTAGCCTTTCTTGCAGTTATGTGGCCATGTGACTAAATTCCCTCCAATGGAGAAAGAGTAAAAGAGTGATCACCTTCCATGTAAGCTCTTCTGTGGTCTCTCCCATTTCCAGCTGTCCAACATAGAAATTATCAGTGATACTTGGGAAGCCACATGTTGACGCCACAAGCCACACCAGCCTGTGTCCCTACATGGCTGCATGAAGTAAAACTACCACCGACCTGGAATCTCCACTCTGGACTGTCACATGAAAAATAAAAAAAAATAATAACTTCTTGCCCTGTAAAATTCTGAAGATGTGAAGTTTATTTGTTCTGGCAGCTCAGCCTACCTAAGAATCTAGGTACTGTGCTGGGGGTTGGGGATGCATCAGTGAATGACAGAGACATGTTCTTGCACTCTTGGGGCTTAGTATCTAGTGCAAAAGACAGATTTTAAACAGGTAGTTCAATAAAGAGTAAAGGCAGAGCACACGCAGAGGGCAGGGAAGGACAAACCAGTCTGTAGGTCAAGGTAATGGCTTTTACCTGAACCTGATGAATTAGTAGGTGAAGGAGGAGGAAGAGTGTTCCAAGGAGAGGGAACATTATGTCCTGAGGCCCGGAAGTGGAAGAAAGCATGGCATGATTAAAGAACCAAAGGAGGTATGTGTGGCTGGATCCTGGAGAAGGGAGGAGGTAGTGGTGGAAGGTGAGGCTGCAATCAAGGGCAGGGGCCGGAGCATGCTGAGCCTTGTGAAGGACGCAGGTTGTTATCCTAAGATAACAATGGGAAGGAGGGGAATGACATGATCAAAATTGAGTTTTGGGAAGTTATTTCACCTGATATGTCCAAAGGAGATTGGAAAGGGGCCAGATGGGAGGCAAGAAGATGAATCTTGCTCTCTCATAAACAGCAAATCAAAGTTTGCTTGATATTTCAACCCTTAATGGCTGGAGTGGTTTTTAAGAAACCCAATACGAACAACAGACCTTGGTTGTATCTTTGACAACTCCTTAAAGAGAACTTTTGGATTCAAGATCTGGTTCTGGCAGTAATTAGTCAAGAGATCATCACCTTTGGGGGCCTCATTTTTCTAACTTGTAAAATTAGGAAGCTGGACTCCGTGATATCTTGGACCTTTTATCGTCTTTTTGGGGAGCTCCACTTGATTTTCTAAAAATTCTGCACCATTACTATCTCCTTCTTAGAACAAAGGATGTGCCATCTTTTCACGTTGCATAACGTGCACTTGCAACGTGGCTTGTGTTATTTTCTATTGTCGTGATTTCCTCCACTGGTCTATGAGGCTCTTTAGAGCAAGAGCTATACAGTTTTATCTCTGTATCTTTCACCCCCAGCCTAGCAGACTACCTAGCACTTGTTAAGTGTTCAAGAAAGCTTTTTGAACTAAAGTAAGTCCCCTAAATGGAATTACATGAGAAAGAATAGTTTTCTTTTATTACCCATAATTTTACACATTTGAATGATATGAAACAATTTCCCTCTGTCACGGATAATTTGAGAGAATATGCTATATAGTTAAAATCATTATCAATTTTTATTCACAAATGTTTCTCAAGAGACAATCAAAGATATTTGTGTTAATTGTATCATCTTTTCAGTTTGCAATCAAAGCTCTAAGTTTTTTCTCTTTGTTTTTCAAACTCAATTTAAAGCTGGACTGGGGTGGGTAATAGGCACAAAACTTGCAATATCTTGGCATCAAATTGTTGACATGAACTCTTCAGAAATACACCTGCAAGCTTAAATGAAACTCAGTAAAGGAGAGCCAAGTGCCACTGACCTTTTGGGCATTTTCCTAGGTGCTAAAGTGGATGTTGGGGCTGCAGAAGGATTGGGCTCCCCTTCCAAGTGGAGTGCTTGGTCCTGGGTGCTGTGCATACAGCCACAGATCCTCTCGTCTCCCGTTGTGTGTTGGCCCTTTCTAAGCAACAGTCACTTGCCCACTGTTACTATTGTCATTCACTCCATGACAACTATACAATGGCAGTTTTAGAAGAGCTTTTCCCTAGTGTTATTGTATGTAGACATTAAACCATTCATGCGTTCAAAAAATATTTGAGTGCCTACTGTGAGCCAGGCACTCTACAAGGTGCTGGGTACACAACAGTGACCGAAATTAGACATGGACTCTAATCTCAGAGTGCTGAGTGGGGAAGACTGATATTAATCAAGTAATCACACAAAAAGTTGCACCTGCGAACAATACCATGCAAGGGGATGCCATGAGATTGGCGTCGGTCAGGGAGGTCAGGGAGGCATCCCTGGGGACATGATATTTGATGATGAGTAGGAGTTAAGTAGGTGAAAGGGCAAGTGATCCACATTGTAGGCAGGAAGAATAGCCTGTGCTAAGCCCAGTGGCAGGAAGGAGTGTGGTGATCAGGAGGGACTGAAAGAAGTTCAGTGTGGTGGGACCAGAGAGGCCAAGGGGGGGTCAGGCTCCAGTTGAGGCTGAAGAGAAGGCAAGATGGCTAGACCATCAGAAACTTGTAGGCCATGGTAGGGGATTTTCACTCTATGTCAAAAGAATAAGAAACCATTTGTGAGTTTTAAGCAAAGAGGTTAATAAATAAAGTTAGATTTACATTTTGGAAAAATCACTCTGGCTTCAGTGTGAATAATGGTTTAGAGAGATGGACAGAGTAAATTCAGGAAGACCAGTGGGGAGGCTATTTCATTTGTGTTAGTTTAGAGCTCCTTCTGTAAAACCCGGGGAATGTGTCAACTCAGTCAAATGAGTATGGTTCAGGGGAAACACGACCAACAATTACTTAGATCACTGGTCAGTTGATGGGGGAGAGGAGATAGATCTCAAGAGAAGCTAAGAATAGTCGTTATTCAGGCTTCAAGTTAGCTCCAGGGACCTTGCTATCTTATTACTGCATCACTGGTCATTGTTCCACCATATGGCCAGGTCACTGTCTCATTGCTTGCTTCTCTTTATGGGTTTTCTTTTCTCTTCTCCCTCTACCTCCTGACTAATTTCCTTAGCAGTTTTCATTTAAATTTGGGAGGGAGAGAGAGTTTGATGGGCCTTGCTAATTACTGTTGTTCATACTGGTCAGAGTTTAAATGCTGACCCACCCTGTAGGTTGTCAGTTAGCCTATACAGTTATCTCCCTTAGATCAGGTGATGACCCTGAGACAACTTCACTGCTCAAGTTAAAACCTAGAGCTGGTTTCCTCAGCAGAGGGCTCTGAGTAGGTTTCCCAGAATCTGGATTTGTAACAAACACTCCAGATGATTCTGGCATGGACTGTATTGGAGAACTGTTGGTGGTGTTCACAAGAGGCTCTGGAGTAGAAAGATCTGAGTTTGAATTCTGACTCTGCCACTTACTAGTTGTGTTACCTGAGATAAAAGATATTTAAAACTGCCAAGTCTACTTTCTCACCTGTAAAACAATACTTTCCTCATGGAGTTATTATGAAGACTGGATGAGTTAATGTTGTTGAAGCACTCAGCACAGTGTCTGATACATGAGGAACAATCAATAAATAACAGTCATAGAGAAGATGATGTTAGAGATGACTGTGTCATCAGGGTCCTGACAGGACACAGAATCTAACTCAGATGGCACTTGAGACACCTATGACAGGATTAGTCAGTGGGCAGGGTTAGGAAAGTAAACGTGGATGTTGAGGCACCCGGAGACTAGCAACATTGGGAGACTTACCACCCTCAGTCCTGAAGGGGCAAGGAGAGGAAATTGTACTATGGAGCCCAGTGAGAGCTGGATTCTTGAAGCGGGGACCACTTGACAGAGCGGTGGTTGAAGGGAGGCAGCCACAGCTAGAAATCAGGCAAAGCAGGCAGGGAGTAGAGAAGAAATACCCCACACTCTGATCTCTAGCCAGTGCAGCAAGGGAGCCTGGGAGGTGGAGTCTGTAAGAATCAGCCTTCTAGGGCATAGAGAAGGGCAGAGCATGGAATAGGAGAGAGGGACGAACAAATGGGCGAGAAACAGCATGATGACGATGATGCTGATGATGATAGTGATGAAGATGGATGCAAAATACTAGGAATCAAGTTTATTGATAACCACCTCGTCAGGATTGAATCAAAGCTGGCATTCTCAAAAAAACATAGCAGCATCTACAGACATTTCAGCTGATAATACATCATTTTTTTCCTATACCAGAATCTAATAATATCGTGGAACATTTAGGCTGTTTACACACAGCATTAAACCATCTGGAAAAAACATTAAAAAAAATCCCTCAGTCAACCTGGTCCTTTGGCAAAACGAGGGGGACACTTGAGTGTACTGAGCTAGATATCAGTTTGGGGAAAGGAAATGCGTGGATGACAAGCAGAGGTTTGAGAAATGATTCCATGTGGACTTATCGACAAGCACACAAGACCACCTTCATTACACCTTGTTGCCTCTGAATGCACTGTTTGATCATTAAAACGAGAGCTGCAGGTCTTGTTTCCTCAGCTGACAACCAACTCTCTGTAAATCCTATGAGAAATCTTACCAGCATATTCTAGCCCAAATTAACCTCTTCTTCCTCTCCATATCCCCAAAGCTGATTTTACTTCTTTCTAATACCTCTGATTGTCTGCTTAATATTCTTAATTAGTTATGATTTGTTTTTTCTTCTCAGTAGGTTGTGAATAAGGATAATAATAATAAATACATTGATTGAAACCTCCTAAGTGCCAGACATTGTGCTATGCACTTCACATGCCGCCTCTCATTCAGTTCTTAGAACGCTCTTTTGGTGGCACTATGGTTATTGTTTGCATTGTGCAGATGCCTTACACAGATGAGGAGATCAGGGCTGGACCAAGAGCCCCCAGCTAGTAAGAGTTGGGATTCAGGCACAGGTCTTTCTGACTGCAAGATTCAAGCTTTCAACCACTATCTCCTCAGCAGGGACTAATGTTTTAATTATCTCTGCATCTTCTTCTCAGGATCTAGCATCATACTCAGGAAATGTTTATGAAAGGGGATGTTTGTTGACAACTGTGTGACCCAGGATCAGAGGATCTGGAGTGTGATACCCACTGGGGAAAGCTCGGCATATATCTGCTGCTGGGAGATACATAGTATTCAGTGCTCCCTCCCTGCTTTCAGAGGAGCCTGAGAAGGAAATGGAATCCCACAAAAAAGGGTGTCATGTCCACTAAAGGAAGAGATGACAAGGAGGAAGAGTGTGTTTTGCACACAGTAAACCCTCAAAAACTATTCATTTGAATATACTACAGTTCATGTATGCATTGTCCTGTTGATGGATATTTGAGTTGTTTCCAGTTTTGGACTATTACAAATAAGGCTGCTATGAACATTTTTCTACAAGTATTTTTGCGTAATATGCACTCATTTCCCTTGGATATATATCTAGGAGTGGAACTGATGGGTCATAGGGCAGATATTGTTTAATTTTCTTGGAAACTGCCAAATACTTTTCCAAAGAGACTGTTCCATTTTACACTTCCACCAATAATATATGAGAGTATGGAATATATTCCACATCCTCAACAACAGTTGGCATTGCCAGTCTTTTTTAAGCTTTATTTATTCTGGTATCACAATGTGGCCTTAATTTGCATTTCCTTGATGACTAATGATAGTGAGTAGCTTTTCATATGCTTACTGGCTGTTTGGTTATCTCCTATGGAATACCACTCATCAATAAAAGAGAAGAAACTACAAATACACCCCAAAACATGAATAGACTGCAAACCCAACATGTTGAATAAAGAAGCTAGACACAAAAAGAATATACATGCTGTATGATTCCATTTATATGAAGTTCAAGAACACGAAAAACTAATCTATGGTGACAGAAGTTAAAATAGTGGTTACCTCTGGAAACAGCATGAGGGGACTTTTGGGGATAATCACAATGGTTCATATCTTGATCTGGGAAGTGGTCACATGGGTGTATACAGATCTTCCTCAACTTATGATGGAGTTACATCCTGATAACCCTAATGTAAGTTGAAAATATCGTAAGTCAAAAATCCATTTAATACACCTAACCTACCGAACATCGTAGCTTAGCCTAGCTTACCTTAAATGTGCTCAGAACACTTACATTAGCCTACAGTTGGGCAAAATCATCTAACATGAAGCCTAATTTATAATACAGTGTAGACTATCCCATGTAATTTATTGAATACTGTACTGAAAGGGAAAATCAGAATGGCTGGATGGGTACAGAATGGTACTAAGTGTATTCGTGGTTCACCCTCGTGATCATGTGGCTGACTGGGAGCTGCAGCCCGCTGTCTGCTGCCCAGCATCAGGGGAGAGTGTCATACCACATATCCCCACCTGGGAAAAATATCGAAATTCAAAATTCAAAGTATGGTTTCTACTGAATGTGTATTGCTTTTGCACCATCGTAAAGTTGAAAAATCAAGTTGAACCATTGTAAGTCGGGGACTGTCTATACGTATATATGAAAATTTTGCTTCAATAAAGCTTATTAAAATTTTGCCAAATGAATTCACTTGAAGAATGAAGTTAAGGAAGCTTGGATCTCCTCAGTTTGAGGCTGCTGTCAAGGAAGGCATCGATCATACTCTCCCACCAAACACCACTGTGGTCCCCCAGCTAAGGGAAAAATACCGCTCCGCTCTTTGGCCCACTAATGCTCAGCTCTTGTCTTTGAGCACTGTCCTTTCTTCCATTAGGCAAGATGCCCCTTAGTCTCAGGAACATACTTCTCCAACTAAATATGTCTTCAATTCTATTAGTAAAGATGCTCCTTTCCTTTCCAGTGGGAACTTAATAGAAATAATTTAGTTTATTGAGTTCTTTTTCAATTTTGTTGCCACAAACTCTGTGGAATAAACTACAAAGCTGGCCTCCAGGTATTGGGATAACTTGTACTGATTTTTTTTC